TCCCAGCGCCTTGATGAGGCGTGTTTAATCTTCCACCCGGATTATTTAACCTCCGCATCCTTGTTAACAAACAGCCATTATTAACGAGATGAGAGACCACATGGGGTGGGCTTCTACAGACAATGCGTGCTCCCTTGGCCTTTCTGCAAGCAAATTCATAATCCTCAGCGACTCAGCCGCCCGAGCCCTCCTGCCAGGCCCGAGAGGGAGTCAGGAAATGGTAGAAAGCGGGCGATCTGGACCCTTGTCCATGACCCCCCGCGCCTGCAGGGTCCGGGGGCTGCAAGACGGAGCTGTACCTCTCCCTTCCTTCCCTGCCTCCCTCGCTCGCTCGCTCTCCCATGGGATTGCTACAGTGCGTTATAAATTTTACCTTTCCAGTGTGCAGGAGAGGCGAGAAGAGGCTGCGTCCCAGCTCCGGGCCGGCCTGTCCCCGAGGACACCAATTAAAGGCACTAATTGGACAGCAGTACATCAAAGTCGCTCCCGGGAGTGGGTCCTCAGAGCGCCAGGAATCCATTAGTTGGGCTTTTGTTTCAAAACACAGAAATACAGAGGAAGAAAAAACCCACCTCGACGCGGATGGGAGTGGCGCGTGTGCTGTACCGCATGGACTCCGCTCTGTGTTCGCTGGGCGCCTCTCTCGCTCTCCTCTCTTACTCCGGGCTCGGTACATCGAATGATCTTTCCTGCTTCTCTGTTCCGACCCACCTCACTTACATCCCCAAAGAGCGCCGCCTAGAAAGGTTCTCTCTTCCCTGAACCCGCACACAGACCGGGCCGGTGTAGACGGTGCACCCAGTTATACCTAAGCGCGCCTGTACCGATTCCGGAAGCACTAACTCACCTCCCCGCGCACCTTGTTCTGGGTCTTTACCTAACTCTGCTGAGGAAGGGGAGGTAGACACCTCGGGGAGGCTCATGTCGCCTCGAAGTCGTGACGGCCGCCTCGGCCGCAGTGGGCTCTCACGAGGCGCCGGGACGCCTGTCGGAGGGGGACGACGAAGGGGGACTGGCCTCACCGGGAGGGGTTATATCCGGATACGGGGAGGGGGCGCTTCAGTGCGGGAAGGAAAGGGCTCTTCTTTGGAGAACGTGGACGCTGCTCAAAGGCCCGAGGGCACCCAGAGAAGCCGGCTCGGGGAGGGGCCCTGGCCCGGAAGGAAGTGAAGTGACCCCAAGTGCACTTCCCGCCTCGGGACCTCGAGGATGAGGGGCCTTGCGGAAATGGGGGCCCTTCCCCCGCGGTCGGCTCAGGAGGCTGAGCTTCCAGAGTCCAGAGCCCCCAGCTACCCCCGCCCCGCGAGCACCGCGAGGCCGGCGGACGTCTGCAACGAAGGCAGACCGGGTCTGATCCCGGCGAGGCCGAGCCCCCAGCACAAAGTAGAACGCCCTGGGGGTTGGCGTCGGCGGGGCGCAGGGACTCGGGGTGCCTGACCCGGGCCGCACCCCGTAGCCGCCTAGGCCGGGGAGGCCGGGAACCGCACCCAGGGCGGGGGCCCCGAGGGCCATGCTGCGGTTTCCCGCCCGACCTGAAGCGGGCGAGGGCGAGGGCGAGGGCTAGGCCGGCCCGGGTCCGTATGGCAGCCAGGGCGGCAGCCAGGGCGCAGGCTGGAGCGACCGGACTCGGCCTCACCGGCACCGCGGGGAGGCCAGACGCCGAGCCCCGAGCGCCCCGCATCCTGCGGGGGCCGCGCCCGCTCCCTTCCCTTGAGAAGCCAGATTGGAATGGCTGCTTTTGATCCCATTTGTTACTAACCCCGGCATTTGTTTTCCATTTTATAAACGCTTCTCTTTAAGTAATTGTCCCTGTTAACAGCGTATACCTTTCAGCAACCCTCACTGCGCTATAAATAATCTCGATGAAGATGCAAGGATATGACTTTCACAAGATTGGACAATTGATTCAATCTGTGACCCGCAATCGCGAATAATATTGGAAGGCTATTTAAACAGATGAAGGCCTAAATTGTCTTGCTTGTATCTGAATTAATTTCTCATTCATCATCATTATGAAGTGATTGGTCTATTCAAGCTCTTCAGCCTGCTGGAACGGAGCGGGATTTAAATGAGATTGTAACACAATTTAAATGCTTGCCGACTTTAACGAGGCCAATTGAGCAGCTGTAATAAATACAAATATTTTTCTAAACAGCCTTGTTTTAAATAATTACTTAATGCTTTCATGTTATTTTTAAGTGGCAATCTTTCTCTCTCTCTCCTGCTCCTGCTCAGAATATCACATACTTATTTGCTGAGAAGGCGATTTTCGAAAGGACTTTATGTTTCTGTTTGCTTTGTAGAAGGTAGCTTACGTTTTGTGGTTGACTTTTTTTTTTCACCCAGGGTCAATATTTCGGGGTTCCACAAGCTGGCACACATGGTGAACTGCACCTGGGCTTTCTCCTAATACAGTCTGATGTGCCTGCCCTGGCAAAGTCAGGCAGAAGCTAAGTGATGGAAGAAATTTGCCCTTTGGACCAAGTCACTTATCCAGACCCGTTTAGCTGGGTCTTGCAAACGAATCCGGACGATGGGACTTACAAATGACACCCCAAAGAGTGGCATCGTTTCTGACTTGTTCTGATGACCATCATCATCTGGAACAAATCAGAATTCCAGCGTATCCCAAAGGTGTCCCCTAGGAAGTTCAATCTGCCAGCAGTTTGGCTCCCCTGCAAGTTGACTGGTATGGGTGCAGGAAGGCTGGGGGTTTCTTTGTTTAGGGAATAGGCAAAGAAAGAGAACCTGGCTACAAAGATTAGTTGGGGGTGGAGTAATTAGAAGAAATCCCCCCCCTTTTTTGCCCCACCTCCTTTTCCTCCTCCTACTCCCTCTCTCACTCTGGGGTGATGGTGCATGAAGAAGATGCTAAGAAGGAAAAGCTCTTCCCACTTTGAGAACACCATCCTCAATAACCCACCGCCGCGACACCCACGCCCTTCCATCGACATATGGCGGCGGGTGTTTCCTCAATTGGGGAATAATGGAGGCAACCGAGCGGGAGAAGCCTGGGGAACAAAAGAATCTTTTAAACTTTAGCCAAAAGGCTGGGTGGGGGTGGGGGTGGGGAGACACGCGACTTGCTGCGGGGGACCTCAGCTCCCATTTGCGTAGATTCGTCAGAGCCATGGCCCTTTGGGAAGCCTAGGGTGAGAGGGTGCATTCTGAATCACTTCTCCCTCTGCCTGAGAGGGCGCAGGAGGACTCGACATCTGAGGTGTGAGGGTGCACGGTTAGCGGCTGAGAAGGCAGAGCCAATATTGTCACTAGACAAACCATTCGTGGGGCCGACTACAGTGGGGGATGCGATCATATTGCAGACCAGGAAAAAAAAAAACCAACAACCGGGGACAAGGGTGGAGGAACCAAGTGATTTGCTATGTAACTGGGCAATTTAATGCCAGAGTTAGGGAGCTGCTGGCCAGAATCATTTTGTCTTCGGAGGCTCTGCCGAGCTCATCCTCTTTATCCTGTTGTTTAAAATGAGCATTATCCCAAACATATGCAATGCAATCAGTTTGGTCACACTTACAAGAACACGCTTTAATAAGGCAATCAATCACACGCTAACAAGCCGGCGACGGCCGGCGCTGAGCGTGCACTCCGGCTGCGGGGCGGCTGGTCTTGCCCGGCCGGGCGGACCGCGGCTGAGCGCAGTCTGCTCTCCCAGGCCCCGCCGGGTCGCCATAGGGTTGAGGAACCCAGGGAAAGTGTGAGTCGGGAGTGAGGTGTCAGACTTCGCAAGGGGTGACCGTTGGACTCGGGGCCCCAAAGGGGCCTAGGGGAAGGGAAGGGAAGCCGGAACTTGAAGCTCAGAGCTGCACGGGACCCTAATAGATGTGTGAAACCCAGGGCCTCTGTTTTCCCACCTGTAAAATGGGACCAAGATGGGGCAAAGCGAAGTAGAGGCTCTTAGAACGTTGAAAGAATAATAACACCATGTCAGCCCTGTTGCTTGGTTTAGCCTTCTTTTACAGATAAGGAGCCTGAGGCTGTGGAGTGGCAGTGCCTTCTTCGCTGTCATCTCTCCCCCTCCCCCACGTCCGCCAAAATGTAGGTATTAGGCCAGGTGCGGTTGCTGGGTGCAGGCGGGCAAAACCTGTTTTTAGGTGCAGGAGTGGAGAAGGGAAAGTGAGAAGTGGTGCCTAGCGCCAAACCGCAAACCTTGGCAAAAGGGAAATTTCATTATGAAGTAATGAGTAATTCCTCCTGGCAAGATGTATTGTTATATCTTCCACTTCAATTTGGAGGAAGAGAGGCTCAATTACCCAGAAAATACAGTCAATTAAAGGCTGCTGATTGGACACGAGGCCGGATCATCGATCTTGTACTTTCCAATATCGCTGCAGACACCTCATTTTCCCTCCCTATTAACTGAAAATACGCCTGGCATTACGGCAACCCGCAGCCCATTTACCTGTCGCAAGCAATCTCAGCCTGCCGCAAAGTAACCGTGAAATTTGCCTGGGTTTGGCACTGGGAGCGTCCCAGCTGCAGAGGTGGCTACGAAAGGCTGAGGGAGGAGGAGGGTGGAGGAGTGGAGGGGAAGATGCTGGAAACCTAAGCTCCAAGCTTTGCTTGGGAGGGCAGGAGCCACTGTGTGCAGGAGAGTTTCTCTGGAACCCAAAGAGGGACAGAAGCTAATTAAAGATTCCCCATCTGCCCACTGATACATAGTGACAGAGGACCCTTGAAGTCCACCCAGTTCTGAGCTCCCAGCCGGCCGATGACACCCATCTCTCCCCTGCCTATGCAGGACTCAGAGGCAGCCACGGTGGCTCTCCTTTGGGGACAGAGGATGAGGGCGAGATGGCTGCTTGAGCACCATCTGTCCCCTTGCCCCGACCAGGCCAGAATTCCATTCTTGGAGATGACTTTCAGGTGGAGGATGATTCAGACACCACCCCCCATCCCAACCCAAGAATCCTCCTCCCTCCTCTCCCTTGACCCTACAGTGCAGACTGCTTGACCCGCAAACCTAGCTGTCTGTAGTTCTGGAGCTCCACCCCTACTGCCTCATTCACCTCCACCTGGGGTTGGGGTGGAAGCAGGATCCATGGAGACCACAGTGGTCCATGGTCCCCTTTCCTCAAAGGGTTGGAGCAACTGGAGAAGAAACCATTGCAGGGGTGAGCCCCAGGTGGGCCAGTTTGCAGAGGAAGGCCTCTATTGTGCACAGAATTAAGAAAACATGCACCTCACGGCAGCTCAGAGCCTGCGTTCTCCACTTCTGGGCAATCTCCATTTGGAACCTGCTAATGCCCAACACAAGATTGGGAGACCATCTGTGGGTCCATCTTTTGGTTCCTTCTCTAACGAAGCTTAGGATGGTGACTGAACTAGCAATTCAAAAAGAGTCAATGCACTGCCTGCTTCCCAAAACATTAAAATGTTTAAGTGAGAATTATGTCCAGCTTTTATTGCAGTATGGTTAACAAACTGTAACAGCAAATTCTTTAGGCTTCAAAGGAAAACCAAACCAAATTCATTCCCTACAGGAAGAACCACTCCCTCCCAGTCAGGGTGAAGCTTGTTATGGAGGAGTAGACTTTCTCCTATCCCTCAAAAACTGGCTGCAAGAATGAGTGTGAGAGTGAGAGCTTGGGAGTGGTTCCCAAACAAACTCCGGTGAAGGGGAAAGACAAGGTCCCCAGAAGGGGCCAAAGGCTCCTGCTAGTATCTGAAAGCCAAGCCCCAGTGGTAGCTTGGGAGAAAAATGAGAGGAAGAAGGATGTAAAATGTTAACTGCAAAGGGAAAGCCAGAAGGCTCTTGGTGAAGAGAAGGTGAACAGGCAAAGGCTTGAAATAGCCTCTAATTCGCTGGCAGTTACTGAGGGAGGGAGACGAGGTCCCTGCTCCCTAAGCTCTTCCCTGGGCGCCTTGTTAACAGCTCAACTCTGGGCTCCGTGGCCCACCGCATGGTGATCATTATTATACATTCAACATTCAAAAACCCTCTTCACACACATCACTTGCTAATCAGGGTGTGTACTGGGCCCAGGGAGAAGAGAGACTTGGTAGAAGCTGCCAAGAGGCCCTGAGGCTTCTGCAGCCTCTCTGCCAAGGTTAAACAAAAAGTGGGGGTGGGATGGAAATAGGAGTAGAGACGGAGTTACAAGTTGAGAGCTATCAGGAAGCTAGGAGAGAGTAAAGAGATCAGGTGTTGGTAGATGCCAGAACCAGAAAATGTGTAACTGAGGCTCCAGGAAGGCAAGAGAGCCCCTCGGTTCCATGGGAGGGCCAGGGTCCTCTGCCACAGTAAATCACCTCTCTCACTCTCTCCCCATAGACGGCTGGTGCATTGCCATCCACCAAGCCCCTTGCCATGCCTTGGAAAGGCTGGCAAAGATTAATCTCTATCTGCTCTGCATACACAGCATTTTGTTCAGAGAGCCAGCAATTTCCTTTCCAGTGCTTGGGCTTGGCCTTGGGGATGGGAGTGGGGGGTCCCGATTGAGGCAGGGGTGTGAGGTGGGGGTGGGACGAGGGACTGAGGGGCTGGATATCGGTTGCTGTTGCTACTAGATTTGTTTGGCTTTGGAACCACGGCGTCGACCCCGGTCAGGGGCAATGGGTCCGGTGAAAAACGGCAAAGAGGGGCCGCCCCTGAGGAAGGTCTCTCAGCCTCGGCGTCCCCACCCCCACGCCTGATCCCCAAACGCGCCAGCCCTGGCCGCTTCCCGGGCGTCGCGATCCGCGAGGCCGAGTCCCCCCGGTCCTTTTCGGCCCTCTTCTTTCCCCTCGGTGCCCTGGGGGCGGGGAGGGGCGCTGGCTGAGTCCCCGCGGGAGGGGCCCCCCACGGGCGTCCTGGAGCCGGCAGCCCGCGGGCGGCCCCTTATCTGGTGAGGGGCACCTCCTCCCTCTGGTCCAGCGCGACGGAGGAGGCCTTGCTGAGCACCGAGGGCGCGAAGGAGAGGAAGGAGTCCGAGCGGGACGTGGAGGCACAGGTGAAGTCCGAGGCGGCGGCGGCGGCGGCGCGGGGCGCCAGCCCGTTGGCCGGGCCGCTGTGGCAGGCGAGGCAGGAGCAGGGGCCGCCGGCCGCCGCGCCCAGTCCGTGAGCCGGGCCGGGGTAGAGCGGCGGGTGGCGGAAGGCGCACAGCAGTTCGGGCCGCGGGTAGGGCTGCGAGAGCACGCGGAAGGTGTCGAGCGGGCGCAGCGGGCCGCTGAAGGGCGAGGCGGCGGCGGACGCGGCGGACGCGGCGCCCAGGCCCACCGGCGAGTAGTAGGGCAGGGGCAGGTGCGACGGGAAGGGGTAGGGCAGGCCGCCCGCGGCCGCCGCGTGGCTCATCATGTACGTGTAGAAGGCGGGGTCGGCCGGGTGCGGCCACGTCATGGCCAGCCGCTGCCGTTTGTCCTTCATGCGCCGGTTCTGGAACCACACCTGGCGGGGGGGGGGGGGTGGAAAGGAGCAGGTTCGGCGGCTGCACCAGGCCGGGTGCGCAGAGGCCAGAAGTCCTGCCCCACTGCAGCGGACGATGCCCGGTAGCGCAGGGAAGAGCCGCGGCAGAGACCCTCTGGGCGGGGGGCAGATCCCACCGCCACCACCTGGAACTGGAATCGCTTATGGGGGAGGTTCAGGGAGGGGCTTCAGTCTGCGTCCCTCCTTCCCTCTGCCCGCGGCCAGGACCCCTGGAGTGCCAGAACCCCATGTGGGCACTAAAGCAGTGTGGTAGACTAAGGACTCTGCCGGTCCCGAGGCGGCAGGCAGCGGTTCCCCAGAAACACCTCCCCTTCCAGCCGCTCTCTCTCAGGGCAAAGGCACCCCATTCCCACTGTTGATTTGGCTAGAAAGGGAACAGAGTCAACCGCGCGCCAGCAGTTCCTGCCTAGGGCCTGTCGGGAAGGTAAATCTGCACACGCCTGGCGCCTGCACCAGGCCTGGACACCCCCAGCCTGGCAGCCACGTGGGCAAGGGGACTCCAGGCCCTGATTCTTGGCTCAGGATTTAGGGAATGGACAGTCCGTATTTACTTCCTGCTCAGTGGGCGCACCCCTTCTTCTCCCTGTCGCCAGAGCTCATACCTTGATGGTGGTTTCCGGCAGGTTTAGGGCGGCGGCCAGCTCACATCTCCGCGGCCTGGACACATAGTTCTCCCTGTAGAACTCCTTCTCCAGCCGGGCAATCTGCTCCCGGGTGAAGGCTGTGCGGTAGCGGCGCATCTGGTCGCTGGCGCTGCAGGCCAGGGCGCCCTGTGAGCTGCCGTTACTGTTGCTCTTGGGGGCCTCGCTGCCGCTGCTGGGACTGCTGGCCAGTGCCTCTGAGCTGGGCCCTGCATAGGGAGCCCAGAGCACATGCACACACAGAACACACAACAGAAACACAAAACACTGCTGATGCAGGACTGTAGGCCCAGGGTGTGTGTGGAGGGAGGGTGGGGCAGAAAGGGACCCCCTCCTCGCAGTAGCCTCAGTTTCTGCCTCTGCTGGGGCACAGGGGACTTTGAGAACACAGGAAGAGAGAGATGGAGGCTCACCATTCAGATGAGCACAAAGCAGCCCTTAGGCCTGGCTGGGCTGCTATTTGGGAGACCTCGGTCTTAAGGCCTGCTGGGTACAGAAACCTCAGCCACCCGGCCACCTGCCACCTGCCCGGAGGCACAGACTGGATGCAGCCCCTCTGAGCTTTCTGCCCACCATTGGCAGGAGTGGACAAGGATGTGCATATCTGACAGGCAAGCTGAGATGCACCTTTGTGCTGGAGTGTAGTGAGCTCTGGGTCTTAGCACATTGTAGGATGCTGCACACAAACTGAGTCCTTGCTTTTGCATGGGCCAGGCTGCCAGTGTAGGTGTGGGAATGTGTGCTAGGTTGCATGCGTTGTAGGGATGGCATAGGAGTGTGTGAATGAATAGCATATTACCTGGGTATATTTGAGTGGCGTGTGGCTTCTTCTGAGGACATGCTGCGATTAGGGAATCTGGGTTGAATGGACAAGATGATAATGAGTGGATGTGGGTGCTCAACCAGGTGTTGGCTGCCAAGGTGAGGGGGTGGTTTTTCTTCCATACCAGGGTCTTCCCATCTACACCCACAGCTTTGTGGAGGAGTGTCTGCCAGTAGGCTCTCCCTCCTACTAGCTTTCCACCCCTCTCTGGGAGACTCCCTGCCTGGCCACCTCCCCCCACCACCACCACCACAAACTAGCCCCTGGTCAGGGAGGGGTTCTCCAGTTAAAGCAGTGTAACAGCACCCCTCCTTTTGGGTCTAACCCAAGGAAGGGTGGGACTCCTGCCCCCTGCAGCTCCTTTTCCTTTGGGTGGAGAAGTGGGACTAGCAAGGAAAGGGGAATGGGGGAGGGCCAGAGCTCTGCCTTTTCAAATGCAACCGGAGACCAAAGGCAATTAGATCATGGGGACCATTTCCGACCTGGCGCCACCGAGCCCGGGAAGTGACAAGGTAATTTGGACCTCTGACTGACGTGCAAACTGGTCGGAGGGCCCAGCACCCAGGCAGCCCGAGTCGGCCGGGATTTTACGGTCCTTTATGGACTCCGGGCTTCCGCGCCTGGATGCGCCTTACACCCCTCCAGCCACAAACTGCCCTGACCCACGTTTGATCTCGCCCAGGCCGGGGAAGGTGTCTTCCCGGAGCAGTTGAAGCAGTGCCACAAAACTCTGGGGGGCTGGGGTGCACTTTGAATCCCCCTCAAGCCCAGGGCTTGTGTCCCCCTCCTCCCGCAAAGCACAGCTGTCACCCTCGGTCCCGCCAATGCCAGAGCACAGAAGGAGACCCCCGCCAGGGCTCAGGTATCAGGGGAGAGTTGCTCAGGTGGGTCCCCCCAGCCACCCTGCCCTGGGGGAAAGGAGTGTCTTACTCCCCTCCAGGGCTGAAGTGCAAGGTGGGCGCGGTGGGGGGCCCGGGGAGAGAAGGGGCGCGGTGGCTACCTTTGCTGTGCTGGTACTCGGCGTTCCCCGTGGCGCAGTCCGGGGTGCAGCTCACCTCGATTTCTTCATAGAAATCCGACTCTGTGTCTGAGCTGCTAGGTTGCCCCTGACCCGAGAGGCTGTCGGCGGAGGGGGCCGGAGGTCCGGGGCCGAGCACCGCAGCCCCGGCTGCCCGCGGCTCGGCGCCCGGCCCCGCAGCGCTGCCTGCTAGTCCGTCGACCGGCTCCTCCTCCAGGCCTCCCCCGCCGCGCTCCCGGGCGCCCGGAGGGCCGGCCCGCGGGCTCAGGCAACCACGGGGCACCATCTTCTCGGGCGGCTCAGGCAGCGGGCTGCCCACGGCTTCGGACAAATTGGAGACCCTCTTGCCAACCAGAGTACCAAGCTGACCCGCATCCAGAAACATAACCATGTCCTTTCGGCTCTCCATCCCGGGGCTCGCCGGAGGGGGGAGGGAGGAAGCCCCAAGTGACTCCTAGCCCCCGTCTCCCCGGGTCCCCAGCGGTCCGACAGATCTTGGCTGCGGGAGGGAGAAAGAGAGACCAGGCGACTGGGCGGACGCCGAGCGGCCGGAGCGCGATGTCGACGGTGACGGCGGTGGCGGCGGTGGGGAGCTGGGGTCACCTTGTGATGCGAGCGCTCCTCTGTGCCGCGCCGCCTCTGGGAGGAAGCCCCATTGCCCTCTTCTTTCTAAGCTGTCATCCTCCTGCTGCAATCGTCATTACAGTACCGCTGGTGACGCCACTGGGCGAGCGCAAGTGGATAAATAGAAACGTCTGCCACAGCGAAGATGAAAGGAGACCCGCAGCTAATGGCTCGGCAGTGATGCGCCAGGTGTGGGCCTCGCTCGAATGGGGAGGAGAGTGTGAAAACAGAGAGAGACACACACACTGAGACAGGGAGACACCCAGGCAGAGGGCATGCAAATGGAATTCCGCAGAAAGAAAAAGAGAGCTTAACGCGCGCGGCGAGTTCCGCAGGAGCTGCGGGGACTCGGTAATTGAATAAGCTTCTGATTTTTTTTTTTTTTAATTGTTGTTTGGCTTTTGTTTTCTTAACTTGGTGCCTTGATCTAACACTGATGAGAGAATCCATAACTGCATTTTAAAAGTGTGAAGGCCGACTCACAAGCCTCGCTTCTCTCGTCATTATTACAACTGCCTGTCCTGGCGAGCTAACCTCGTAGGGGCTCCAGAGTCTTTTTACAAGCTACCAAAAAACATATTCCCTCCTCCCACCCTCCAGTTGTCTGGAGAGCTTGAGCCTGGGGTATCTTCTCTCTTCCTCCTACCCTCTACACCCAGATGCCTCCTTCCTCCTGGAAACCAAGAGAACTTTGCTCTTTTTCTTCCCCAAGGGGCAGGAGATAAATGCCTTAATATTTTTTCTTTAAGGACATGTCTTGGCTGCTGACTTCAAATGTTTGCTGATTTTTTTCTTATTCCCAATTCCCCATCTAGGTGGCCCTATGCTTTCCACAGCTCGGCTTGACCTCCAGGTGGCTATTCATAGAAGAAATCGTTTTCCCATTTGCTTGGGCCTCGCCTGCACTTCAGGTATGTAGGGTGGGGAGAGGTTCTAAGAGTGGCCTTTTTTCTTTTTCTTGCCCATATTTTAAGGTATTCGTTCAGAGTCAACGAATTCTTCAGGAAACAGGTTTTGCGAGTGAAAAGGCACTGAGAAATGCGGTCCCTACAGTGGCAGCACCCGAGGCTCCTAGCTGGGAGAAGGTGCTGTTCTCACCCAGAAATCGGGGCAGGGGTTGAGAGTGCCCCAGCACATGGCACTGGGGTTCGCAGAGCTTTGGCTCACAGGGTTTTCCCCCAGATCCTGCCCACGGGCTTCCGTGGCATTGGGGGTGAATAGAGAGAAGTCATCGAAAATGCCCTGAAATAGCAAATGACTAGGGGTGCTCATAAATCTCTGAGGACAGAGGGAGAGCCTCCAAGGCAAGGCTGGGGAGTTTGTAGTGCTTGATGTCTCTGGGAGCAGCCACAAGCTCCTTCTCAGGTCTTCTTCCAAGGAAGGTATGATAGAACCCATTAGAAAGCTGACCCGTTTCCAGCTCTGAACAAGTGTGTTGGGGCCAGGCTGGGCAGCTAGGTCTCTCCCCACTTTGCTAAGGGCAGAAGGCAGGCCCCTTCTCTACTGTGCTATCCCTAAAACTCTCCTTTCTCTGCCCCTTTCTCTGCCCTAGGCCAGGGCTGTCCCTGCACCCCGCCCCTTCTTCTCCACATCCCAAGACAAAGCCCCAATTTCTGAGATTCTAAAGAGAAGTGTATCACTATCTTTTTAAATCTTTTTCTGTCTCTTACTTTGTTCTCCTTTCTCTTTCTCTACTCTTCTCCCTCTTTCCCCTGCCTCAGTTTTCCCATCTGTGGGCTTGTGGAGGTGGTGGAAGAAGCAAGGGGTTCAAGCAAGACAGAAATTCTTCTCACTCCTGCTTTCTACTTCCCCTAGTCAATCAGAAGGCACTCATTAACCTCGCCTGGGGTGGGGGTGGGGGGGACAGGAGGATCCGGAAGGTAACGTCGGCATAAACATCCCCACTCCCTGGGACTCCCAAAGCCACCATCTGCTGAGCACAGCTAGCTCAAAACTCCTAGGGACTATTACAAAGGTGACAGGAGCGACGGGGAGTGGAGGGGATCAAATCCTAGAGCCTTTTGCTGCGTTGCAGAGTTGTCCTACGATTCTGTCACGCCTTGCCCTTCCCAGCCAGCCGCGGGAGCCTGAGGGAGCACCTGGCTTGCTCTGTCCTTCCTGTCAAAGTCGAGGCCGCAGCGCCTGTGTTCGAGCGGCCTCAGTTGGGCCCTTCCGGCACCGAGCCTGGGTTTCGCCCACCCTCTGCTCCCCCCCTGAGCCTGCTGCCTTCTCACAGCCGCCCCCGCTGCGCTCACCTCCTTGGGGCCAGGTTCGCAGAGGGACTCCCGGCTGCCCGCCCCGCCCCCAGCTCTGCATTCAATGGGAGTGCTCCGCGTTTGATCCTCTTTTCCTCTGGGGTTTTCCCTGCCAGATGAAAGCCGAGTAGGATTGAGAGATCAAGAGGTACCACTTGCGTCTCCTTCCTGGGTCCGGCCCACCCAAGCGGGGCTTCCCTTGCCGTCTCAGGGAGGAAGGAGGCTCTAGCGGGGGCTCAGCCTCTCCGGGAGGGGGGCTGCCTCCTCTGGGCTTCGGATCTGAAGCTTCAGGGACGCCCCCTCCGCCCCATCCCTCTCCCGGCTTCTGCCTCCGCCCTTTCAAAGCAGCCTCAACTCCCCCCGCCCCCGCCCCCCGGTCTCTGGGGGCCTATTGCACCCTCTGACACTGGGGGGAAAAAACAAAAATTTTTAACCAAATGTCACTTCTTTCAAAAGCATCCTTTCGTCAACATCAGATGAAGAGAGGTCGGATTTTTTACAAGAAGAAAATGGGCTGGGGGGCGGGGCACTGAATAAGAACACTATTTCTGTTTAGCCTTTTTTTTTTTTTTATATAGGGGGAAGGGCTATTTTAATAGCTTGGTTATCAGTGTATCATGAAGGTTATTCCCGAAGACACTGTTCCAGAAGGAAGGTGAATTCGCAGAGGGAGTGAAGTCCGCGGCCCCCAGAGGCCTGGGAAACCCCATGAAAGCCGAGAGGGGGTGATAGCCTAAGTGGGGTCCGGCCTGGGCTCGCACTGCTTCTCACCTCCCTCGGCAGGGAAGACCCCCTTCCCCCACAACCACGGGCCTGCTGTCCCCTCCCCCGCTGGGAAGACGGGTTTAGGTCCAGCCGGCTCCTCTCGGATTGAAATTCTCTGGACTTCAAAAGCTCGAGGCTCCGCTTCCGCCCGGGCTGGGCCGGGCCGGGGATGGGTGGGAACCCCCGGGGAGGAGACGCGGAGATAAGATGCGCGGCTTGTGTTAAATGGAATCGGAAGCCGGGCTTGGGTCCCCAGACGCGTTGATCCGCTGGAGCCGCTACGCTTCCCAAGAAAACCCCGCTCCAGAGAGCGACGGCAGGGGGTGGGGAATGCCTCCATGGCCTTCGGACCCCGCTTGGGTGCGGTGGTCTGCGGCCCTGGGTATCTATATCAGACAGATGCGGGGCCTCCGAGCGGCGAGCACTCGTCCCGGCCCAAAGGAAGGGGCAGAGGTTTCCAGAAGCTGGTTTGGCTCTTCGGTGCCAGCAAAATTTTGATCAGGAAAAAAACTGGTTTTGCCTCTCACTTAGGTAAAACGCAAGAACAAAGGGAGCTTCCTTTTAAACAATAAGCGTTGCCCAGCTGTCGTGGATATTAATCTAGGGCCCTTGTTTATCTTCCAAGCCGTGTCTCGGACGTGGACATCGAAGTTCCCGCGCGGCTGGGTCTCCAAGGCGGGGATCACGGGGTAAGGGGATTTGTGGGGTTGGTCCCTGTCTTGTCCCTGGCAGCTGCCAACGCCCATCTGGGAACCCGAAGCGCAGAAGCACCTCAGAGTGTGCCCCTCTAGGACCAAGATCCACTTGATCTCAGGCGCCCAGGGGTCCGACTTCCCAGTGCCACGCCTCATTCACTTCCCCCAACCCCTCTCTCACTCCGTAGAGGGAGTCCCTGGCATGCTCGCCTGCAGTGGGGACCACAGAACATTTTCTCCTGCAGGGAGAACCTGAAGCTTGCGGAACTCTGATCTGGACAAGCGCCCCTTCTCTCTGTGCCTCCCAGAGCCAAGGGCCAGGAGCCTGGGACAGGAAACTGGATGCTTTCTGACCCCTGCTCCTTAGGTCCTTGGAGCCAGACAGCCCTGCAGTGTCTCTTGCATCTACACCTGTCAGCCCCAAGTTCCTATAGGCCCAAGCCCAGTGGCTTTCCCACCCTGAGCTTCAGACAACTGCCTGAGCAGCCCATGTTCCTACACCCACCACTTGCCCATCCCAGAGCTAGAGGACCCAGGGCAGTCAGTACTGGAGGCCTGAGGACCTCCTCAAGCTCAGGGCTGGCGCCTGCCTCAAGCCACCAACTGGAAGGGTCCATTTTCCTGTGGAGGGGCAATTCCCCAACATCTAAGCAACGAAAGCCCAGGCATACCTCTCTTTCCCCTAGCAGAGATGGTATGGGTTTTTCCTTCACCATTACTATCCTGAAATCTGCTTTCATTACAAGCCCATTTCTCATTTAATCTATACAACATTCCTTTAGAAGTCCTCAACAGGCCACAGTGCCTTTTCTCTCACACTGATAGGGTAACCAGTGGTCTTGTCAGACACTAGACCAGTGCCCCTTCCAAGGCTCTGGCCTTCCCTGGCCTGCAGGGATGCCTCAACACCCAACAGTGCCTTAACTCTCCATAAGGCAATCCTCCACAAACCTCCTGCCCCTTCTGGGATCTAGGTGGGTCCTGGGGCCTCTCAGAGAGGTTGCCCACCTGCCTTCAGAAGCAAAAGGCTCAGGGCCCACGTTCCTGGACTGTTCTCACCCTGCTTCATCCATGATTTCCCAAGAGGGCAAAGAGAAACCCTATCTGGAAATCTGGGGACCCCACATGATAAGAGTAATCACTGTTCTAATCATTTCAGCTATATTAGCTCTTTCCATCCTCACAACAGGCCTGAAGAAGATAGTATAAATAATCCCTATTTTGCAGCTGAGTACTCTGAAGCACCGAGAGAAGGCTCACATATAAATGACAGAGTCAGGACTGAATCCTTATCCCTCCACCTTCAGTTCCACACTCACAACTGGAGCTACTAGAAAATGCCAAGCATTGCATTCTGAGTCTTTCCTTTCAAAAACTCCATTTGTGGTTTTTGCCAAGGCCTTTTCTCCTCCTCCTCACTCCCGATGAATTCACCAGGATTGGGAGAAGTGGGGGTAGGGGTTACAACTAACCTCTGACCACTCACTCTGAGCATGAAGAAGAGTAAAGAAAAAAAATGGTCCAAACCATTTGGAAATGTATCCTGGAGAAGGCCTCCAGGTCTTGCCCTCTTTTAAGACAGGGATCAGAGGCTGGGTGGGGATTAGGCAGGGACCTGCGGGAAGGCTGGTGCCATCCTTAGGGAGTTGGGGTAGGAGAGCCTAACTGTCCTGCCTGAGCAGCAGGGAGGTGGGGGGGAAGAGTTCTCAAGTGTGAGTTCCAAAATATCAGGAAGATAACTGCAGCATGGGATTCTGGAGACCCTAAGAGACAAAGTCCAGTCCCTCTATGACCATAACAGTCCACTGAGGTCCTAAGCATCTACCTGGACAGGGACAAAACTCACAGGAGTTATCCTTGCCTGCTTTAACCTCTTGGGAGTCATGGCCCCTTCACATATCTGGCAAACCTCTCCCTCAGAAAAATGCACAGAAGCATTGAAGTTAGCCTTCCATTTCTGAGATTCCTCTACCTGCTAGAGCTCCATCCCAACCCCCAAACCCCAGACACAATTGCCAGATCCCTTTGATAGGGGGTGTGGCTTTACCAGGGTGTTTTCCCTGTGGAGGCAGCTGCCTTCCTCAAACTGTCCTCCAGGATTTAGTGGTCCAAGAGACAAAACCTGAGGGTATGGCCAGGCCTCACCACCCTGCATCTTGGCCTGAGCACATTCTTCAGATTCTGCACCTGCCTCCATTCAAAACCTAGGCCCTGGAGGTGCATGCTGGGAGAGAGAATGGCGGGGCTGGGGCTTCTGTAAAAGGCACAGCTTGGTTTGGCCCAAGGATAAGGGGGATGGCAGTGCAGGGAGTTGGCCAGTTATTATCAGGGAGTCCTGTACACCATGGGGAGGGACAGGGCATGAGCAGGTTTTCAGTTTTTGTGTTTTTTAATAGATTTTGTCCAGGCACAAACCCTTTCCAAGCCCTGGACTGCCCAAAGGCCAGATGAGCCTGAAAGCCCTGCCCCTTCCCCAGTAAGGTGCTCCCCACTCTCACCCCTGCTCAGGAAGAGGGAACCAGCCTACTGCGGTCCGGTCAGGGTGGTCCAACCCCAACCGAGGGAGCCGGGACCCCTATCTGGGTGGAGTCCTTACCTTCTCTCTCTCTCCTACGACTCAACTAGCCCTAAATGGCCTTAAATGTTCCCTCCCGGGTGCAGGCTTCTTTCTGTGAGTGTTTCTGCGTGCTCACTGACCGTCTGTCTGTCTCTCCTGGTTCCCGGGCCAAGGAGCAGGCAGCACCCCATTCCTCTCTCACCACTGGGTCCAGGAGACGCGGTGGCGCCGGCCTGCAAACCGAGGAGTCGGTCTCCGGGTGTGGGGGTAGGAGAACCGCCCCCAGGCGAGGAAGTCCAACCGGTTGGGCGGGCTAAGCCTCGCCCTCCCGCGAAATGGAAAAACCCTTGTGTGAGGACTTCTGGGGACTGATTTTTATAGAGCCCTCTCCTGACCCGGACTGGTTCCATTCCTCCTACTGAGCTTCTCAGAGCCCCGATGGGGTACAGTTCCTCGCGTTATGCAGCGGCGAAACTGACGCTTAGAAAGGTCGAGGAACTTGCCCAGGGTCACACAGCTGGGGAGTGGCCGAGCTAGGATTTTAACCCAAGTCGTCCTGCAAAAGCCAGATTCTCTCTGCCGTTAGCACTGCGCGCCCAGGGCCGAGGACTACGTTCCCTAACAGCGCAGCCAGACAACTGAGGTGCCTTGGGTGTAACTGAAAGACGCGGACAGGGGCCACCCTTCTCAGGTTGATGCGTGGCTGCGCCAGCGGCCCCAGCAGCAGCTGAGGGTCGGCGGGAGCCGCTCGGGCTGTTACCGTAAGTCTCAGAGGAGCGGGGCACAAGGTGGGGAAAGGTGGCTATAAACGGGAAGAGCCGGAGGGCGCCGCGGCGTGGAGGGACCGCGTTCCCGGCTCAGAAGCCGGGTCCTGAGTGAGGTGCGCACGCGCCCCCGGCAGTGAGTTTCGGAGGGTGGGGTACCGGTTCTTAGGAGCTCGTTGTAGTGAAGGGAGAGCGGGAGGGATGTCGGCCCAGAGGACAGGGTGTCACCCGCCCAGGCTGGCTCGGGACGAATCCCCGTGCCTGCCGCTCCCCCACAAGGCCGTGCCAGGCGCGGCCTGGAGCCCCCGAGAGTCCTTTCCGGCCAGTCCAGTCCTCGCGGCCCCTTTCTGCGCCCTCCTCCCCTCCCTCCCCTTGCTGCGACGGTGACAAAGCGCAGCTCCCGAATTGCTGTCTTGGTGCGCCCCCCACTGCCGACCTCCAGAGGCGGAAGTTGCGGTGCGTCCCAGCATCCTCGCGGGCTCGGATCCCGCGGCTCTGCCAGGGGCAACGGCCCAAACCCTCCATCCCCTTCCCCCAGGGCAGCCTAACCTCGCCCTGAGCGCCCGCCTTCTGAGCTGGACCCCAGGAAGGGTGGGTGGCGGTTCGGCCGAGGCCTCTTAGGAACAGGTCATCAACCACGTGGGGGTGAAGAGTTGGAGGTAGCAAGGAGCTCTTAATACGCTACCATCCTTCCTCCTTTGGGAGGGGGCGTGGAACCCCGCCCGCAACCTGTTGAGGTTTGTAGAAAGCGGGGCGTGTGGGTGGGAGCGCCTTATAGATTCCCGCGGTCAGCCAGTATGATTAATCACGCCCCCAACACACGCGTCGACCCTATTTGTGGTGGGCACGAAGCCCAGGCATTGGGGAGCCTCTTGGACAACCCTGTCTCCACGGTCCTCAAACGCTTCCTTTTGGAGCCTTAGTTCTGAGGCCCACTGATGAACAACGTGGCAACTTTCCCCGTTCCCTTTGGCAGTGTTTCTTGAAGTGTGGTCTCTGTACCACCGGGGCACTTGTTAGAAATGTAAATTCTCAGGTCCCACTGCAGTCTTATTGAATTAGAACCTCTGGAGGGGAAAGCAGCAGTCTGTTTCAACAAGCCCTCCGAGTGATTTTGGTGTCCACTCCAGTTTAAGAACTGCTGCCCTATGGATTCCCTCACCCTGGTTTCTGAGTTCCCATGATTCTCCACTACGCCTGGAATGTTTGCTTGCCTCTGGTACAGAACATCATGCCTCTGTTTAGTCACTCTTGTTCTTTCCATTTTATCGCCTCCATGTATCTCTTTGTGCACTAACTTATTACCTAATGATGTCATTATCACTTAATGATGTCATTATCTAATGTAGCTCCTCACTCATCTTCTCATTCATCCACTGCCTAAGGACATGCCTCACTTGGTGGCAGATTAGAAACTGCTTTGCGACTGCAGCAGCTGGAGCAGAGTGGAAAACCTGCCCTACTCCGAGATTTCTCTCACAAAAGGGAGTTAGAGGCCCTGAGATGCGACTGGTTCGCTGGCTGCAGAGTGGAGAAGAGCAGCCCTCCATGTTTGGGTATGCATCCTGCTAGAGAACAGTTAAAATGGAATGAAGGGCCTTGGGAGTAACTGGGAATGAGGAAATCGAGGCACAGAAATAGATTTTCTATGGGCTCCCTCAAAGACTATGGGCAGGGACCCAAGGGACCCGGCACCAACTTGAGATATACAAGTATTTTTCTTTGCGGATATCTCAAGATCGTGATTTAGGCATTTGTTGGTGGCTGGTTAAAAGCAAGCAGCCAAAAAGGCCTGAGATTTGTAGCTATAGATATAGATGTTTTCGCATTCAGTCAGACTTTCCTAGTATCAGACATATTCTGGGATGCTATTTAATAAGTTAAATTTATAGCTAATGTTATGAATTAGGCAGCATGAGGCCAAGGTGCTACCAAAAGTAACCAATAAAGGTAGCTATAAGTATCTTCTGTGTATGGAGTGCTATTCTGAAGGCTTTACATGCATTATATCACTTAATCCTTATAGCTCCATGAAGTAAGATGGAGAAACCAAGTCAAAGATGGGTTAAATGCTTACTCAAGATCACATGGCCTGTTAGCGGCAGAGGTGATATTTGAATCCCAGGAGTGTGAAGCCAGAGGCCAGGCTCCTACTTCCTGGATTCAGCCCCCTCCTATGGAAGCTAGCAGGTCATGACCTGTAATCTCAAAGGATTGACTTAATTTCCCAATGTGACTAAACTAGTCACAGCCCTAGAATAATACTATTCTATTTTTTTTTTAAAGATTTTATTTATTTATTTGAGAGAGAGAGAATGAGAGCGAGCAAGCACATGAGAGGGGGGAGGGTCAGAGGGAGAAGCAGACTCCCCGCCGAGCAGGGAGCCCGATGAGGGACTCAATCCCGGGACTCCAGGATCATGACCTGAGCCGAAGGCAGTCGCTTAACCAAATGAGCCACCCAGGCGCCCCAATACTATTCTATTAATAAGAACTTCATCAGGCATGACTATCAGTAGAATTCATAATAATTAACAGGTGGTCCTTTCCTATGCAGGTAACATTTTCACAACCTCTGTCCATTTGATAAAACAGTCCCATGTAATAGGAAGAGCAGCTATTCCTATAATCCCCATTTTACAGATGAGAAACCAGGACCCAGAGGGGTTAAGTGCCTCCCCCCAGATCCCTCAGCCAACAAATGACAAAGCAAGGAACACTGTTACTCCTTTTGACATCTTTGTCTTTGTTTCTTCTTTTCTCTCTCATCTCACTTCAGACCCACATTCGTGTATCACCATCTTAATCCTTGACATGTATCATCATCTTAATCCTTGACATGTATCATCATCTTAATCCTTGACATGCCTCCGTTAGTTTGGACTGCTCCAAAGCCCTTCTCTGTCCGGCATTGGTTTGCTCCTCCTACAGTCCCTGATGAGGTCCAAGAGGCCAGGGTCGTTCTTTCCAGTTTCCCGTTGAGGAAGCCAAGATTGGAGAGTTCAGAAGACTTGACCAAGTTCACCGAGCAACAATAAGGATCAAAGTCTCAGACTTTTCACGGGCAAGAGTGACTTTTGCAGAGACTCCTACAGAATGAATGAATCGTTCTTACTCCCGGTCCCATCCTTAAAGCCTGGCAGTACTGACAAAGGAAAGACTGACAGTTGTGGGAAAAGTATCAACAATTTATAAGTATTCAAATCATAATGTGCTATTAGTGAAACTTTTTATTATAATGGACTTACAGTCATTTCATAACTTCCATTATTGGCAATATGTCAACTTTGGAATGTTTTCCTAATTATTCTAGAGTCAGCCTTACTGTTCTTGGAAAGAATTAGAAGAGGAAGGAAAGGTCACTGTTTTAAAAATAGGCCTGGAAAGGGCCAAAGGAACCCGGATCCAGGATGTAACTCTGCCTTGGTCTTCGACCCTGAGGAAGGGGTCTTTATTTTCACAAACGGCAGCAGTCAGACCATGATTTTAACCTTAAATATGGCCCATCAGCACCTGAAGAACCAGATCACCTCCAAAAATGGATCAGTTTTCTTTCTATTCCTTCATCACCACCCTCATGTTTTCCCCAGTACAGGCAGTGGAAAAAGGAAAAGCTCATGTGATCAGGCTCTGAGGTAAGAACATGATAGGCACGCTTTCACTTATGTCTCACAACAATCCTCAGAGGGGAGCACGGAGCTCCTCACTTTATAGGTGAGGAAACTGAGGCATAAGGAGGTTAAGCAACTGAGGTCACACAGAGAGGGAATGAGAGCCAAAGGAAAACCCAGGCTTGTAAATATGTAGTTTAACTTCCAATAGCTATAAACCCACTTTCCCTATGGATGTAGATTCTGGGATCTTCTGATCCAGCAGAAAGGAGCAGGCAGGAGCTGGTCTGCAGTGGTGAGGCCTGGGTTTTGAGTCCAGGAGGGAGAGAAACAGATCTCAGGGACCTTTGGGAAGATACAGGATAATCTGCAGCTGCTACGAGAACAGAATTGATGGTGGAGGAGTGCTCTCAGATTTGCCCAGCCAAGACTTCTTACAACTTCAAAGACAGTTGGTGACAAGGTAAGAGCATGTGCTTGGAAGCCAGACAGACCTGAGCTTGAACCCCAACTCTGGCACTTACTAGCCAGTGACCTTGAGCAGACCAAAGCTGCAATATGTCAGATTTAAGATACAGCTGCCTGCCTCTTAGAGCTGTTCTGAAGATTTAATGAGATATGACATGGAAAAGGCCTAGCACATGAAACGCCAGGGCGGCTCAGTCCATTAAGCAGCTGCCTTCGGCTCAGGTCATGAACTCAGGGTCCTGGGATCAAGCCCCACATCAGGCTCCCTGCTCATTGAGGAGTCTGCTTCTCCCTCTCCCTCTGCCTGCCGCTCCCCCTGCTTGCTCTCTCTCTCTGTCAAATAAATAAAATCTTTTTTTTTAAAAAAAAAGGAAAAGGCCTAGCACAGTGCCTGGCCTATGGTGAGTACTCAATGAATGCAAATTCCCTCTTGTCCCACGATGGCAATGCCCCTACTTCACCCAATATGTCTGTTATTCACCTTTCTCAAT